TTGGTCAACACTGCCACTGGTCAAATTTTGGTCTGTATTCTTTGTGAATAGAAAGGTTACATTTTTCAACTATAATAACGTGTCTTGTTTTTTTATTTCGACTATTGTTATTTATTATCAGCGGTCTCGGTCTCGGTCTCGGTCTCGGACCATATTGGTCTCGGTCTCGGTCCGCCTTGAAGGGGCTGGTCTCGGTCTCGGTCTCGGTCTCGAATCTTCAGGTCTCGGTCTTGGTCTCGGTCTATCCGGTCACGACTACAACACTGGTACCCTACAAGGCACAGCCCCTATTATGGCACAATTTGAATTTTGTCCAAGGTTCCTTGCTAGATCAATTTCTCCCAATCAAGTTGACATAGGACCGAGTTGACCTGGGACCGAGTTGGGACCGAATTGGCCTGGGACCGAGTTGACTTGGGACCGAGTTGAGTCGAAAGCAACTCGGTCCTAGTCAACTCGGTCTCGGTTACACAAGTATTTGTAATTATGTATTTTCCGTGGTTTACCTTTTCCGTTTTGATGTATTCATTTGTATTTATTGTTTATTTTCGGGGCGTACTGATTGTACCGCTTGTACTTGCAGCAGCTTGTTTTCCCGAAACTTCCTGCCGCGCGCAGCCATTCGCTACCGATACCCGCTTCACCTCCACGGTGCACGCAGTGTCAGCTCAGGCGTCAGATCAGCGTTAACATGACAGTACTGCGGGATAGATCATGATGGCCATCGTACTCGTAGCTAGCTAGCGCGAGCGTTGTGCATAGCTAATTTCTCCGTAATTTTTAAGAATCGTTGACCTGAAATACTCTAGTTTACAGCATTTGAGAATCATTTCCAATACTTTCGGGGCGCAAATTACAAAAATGCAGACCCACAATACCCAAAATACACTGCGTGTTTTTTTTTATAGCAAGTGCGGTGTTTTGGTGCGCTATGTGATATGAATATTTAAAACATAGGCGTGTCCTAGTGAAGTTAATTTGCATGCGAGTTTCATTATTTAGCTCAGAAAACCATTATATAATATATAATGGTTTTGCTGTAGTCTGGTTCCCTGGTTTGCTGAAAACCATTATTTATAAATCATAGCCTCGTTCGCTTCGGGCGCACAATTATATAATAAATAATGAATTATATAATAAATAATGAATTATATAATAAATAATGAATTATATAATAAATAATGAATTATATAATAAATAATGAATTATATAATAAATAATGCATTATATAATAAATAATGAATTATACAATAAATAATGAATTATATAATAAATAATGAATTATATAATAAATAATGCATTATATAATAAATAATGTACATTGTATTATATAATAAATAATGAATTATTTAATAAATAATGAACTATTTAATAAATAATTTATTTTATCACTACAAGATAAAATGCATTATTCTGCACAGACACACACTGTTGATCAGTCACGTATTTTCTTCAATCAGCTGGTTGTTGCCATGGGGTACGTGCGCGCTGTAAGCAGTAGCCTACTCGGTGGGTGTGGCCGGGGAACACCTGGCCGCCCCAGATTTTTGCGGACGTGACATTTTGAGGTCAGAGAAATTGTTCATACCGCTAAAATGATATGGATTGCGCGCAAAAGGGAGTAAATGAAACATTTGATACAGTGTATTAAGTCAAGTTCTTTAATTAGGCCCAGAAAGCTCACTTCGGCTTAGCTTTTCGAAGCCGCTATACATGGAAAATAAATTCTCCAGCAATATTTCCGAACATAAAACTTCTACAAGAAAATCAAAGTTTTATTACCATTTTAACAGTGTTTTGCTGTCATTGGATAATATTGATTGGAACGAGTCACAGACATTTCAGGACCGACTCTTGACTGATTGAGTGCGATACAGCTAGCGTAAGTTGGAATTTAACCCATTCCGTCTGGTTGGGTTCTCGTCTTCCCCGAGATGCCACGCCCTAAACGGTACAAGAAGCAGGCCCGGAGGTCACCTCCCCCGTATGTCAGTGGTCGTCGCCGCGGGCCCGGACGTCCTCGCACTTTAGTGACGGTCGATTCTGCGTCCAACGATGAGAGCACCGCGGTGATCGGCGCCACGGCCCCGGTTGGCGCGCCGCCGTCCACCACCGCATCAGTAAGCGGTCAGTCAGCGGAGGATCAGCGTGCGCTCGCCTCACGCCCAGCGCCCAACCAGTTCGTCTCGGCGGCGGGTTTCAGCGGAGGTCCTAACACTACCGGAGCAAGCGTGGCTATGGGTGGTGAGTCAAGCTCAAGAGCTATTACAAGCGGACTGCAACCTAATCCCCCGAACTCTTTGGTTACCAATAATAGTAATTTAAGTGTGGGCTTAGGTTTTAATCCAGTCAATTCCAGTAGGGCTAATGCTAGTAGTGGTATAATCAGTAACGTTGGCGGTACGACCGGTAGAGATGTTGTAATCGGTAACTCACTTGCACCTGCAATTCCAGTCCCTCCGATCGGTAACAACAACCTAGCAATAGGCCTAAATCCACTTGACCAAGCCGGTACTACTAGTTTTCCATTAGGGGACCTATCTGCTTATTCGGGCATGATGGGTCGACCCGCGCCACTGCACTCTATTGGGAACGATGCCCCTATTGATGTCCACGTCCCTCCATCCATAAAAGAGAAGATCTGGAGCGGACAGTACGTTGATTTAGCTTCGTTATATCGCGACAATGCCACTAGGGTTCTGACTTCCACGGAGAGTGGATCTGAATTAACCATGGCAGTCGAGCAAGGCAAGGTGGTTTTTCGTCCGGCGACACCGCACCCGCGTAAAGTAGATTCAATTGATAAGTGGTCAAGCGCTTTTCATGTGTTTATGGCGATTTATACTACGCGTCATCCTGGGCGTTTCCTTGAGTTACTCAAGTATGCAGAAATTGTTCGTACCGCGGCTGTACAGTTCCCCGGTCTTGGCTGGCGCAATTACGATGAACAATTCCGCTTGCGCATGGAGGCGAACCCCTCGCGCTCCTGGGCTTCGATGGATATGGAGCTGTGGGTTACCGTCGCTGCGGCCGGCAGCATGCTACCCGCTGCAGGTACCACCGCGGTAGCCGCTCGAAACCACTTGCCGAAGAACGTCTGCTTTGCGTTTAATGCCCCATCAGGTTGCCGATGGAATCCCTGCCGGTACGTCCATACTTGCAGCCGGTGCACAAAATTTGGTCACAGCGCGTCGACGTGTAGAGCGGGCGTGGGTCCTGCCGCTCAAGGCGCCCCCGCGAAGCAATCGACCACCCCCGCTAGCGCAACGTATACGCGCTACACAAAGACTCCGTCTGCGACGTTGGGCGTACATCAGCAGGCATTTCGTCCGGCCAACGCGGGGCCCAAAACGAGCACGATCACCGGCAACCAGCAGTGGAATAAAGGGAACGCACACGTAAATTTTCGTGCCTCCAACGGTAACACCCATTAATTTGGTCGTTTTACGGAAATGGTTGTCATTTTATCCAGATAAATCGGCAGCTGCTTGTCTTGAGCATGGTTTTTCACGGGGTTTTCCTCTTGGTTTTCAGCGTGTTAGGGTTAGCAGGGATTCCACTTGCCTTCAGTCTGCAACAGATAGGCCTGATGTAGTTCTTAAGAAGTTGCAAAACGAAATCGATTTGGGCCGCATTGCGGGACCTTTCGTTCATCGCCCCTTTCCGAATCTCCAATGTTCACCCATTGGGCTTGTCCCTAAGCATCAGCCCGGCTCTTTTCGCCTCATCCACCATTTGTCTTATCCCGTGGGGGATTCAGTTAACGACTTTATCGATAAAGATATGTGTAAAGTCCATTACGCATCGTTCGATGCAGCCGTATATTTAGCTATGTCAGTAGGCCCCCATGCTTGGTTAGCAAAAACAGACATCAAATCTGCCTTTCGGCTTCTTCCCGTCTCTCCTTCTGACTACGAACTTTTGGGTTTTCAGTATCAGAATAAGTTTTACTATGATAAATGCTTACCCATGGGCTGCTCGGTCTCTTGTGCGCTCTTTGAAACCTTTAGCACCTTTTTGGAATTTCATATCAAGCGCATTTTAGCAACAGACACTGTAACACATTACCTAGATGATTTTTTGTTCATTGGCCCATCAAAGGAGCGCTGTAAAGAATTTCTTAGCACCTTTAAGGATGTTTGCGCTCAGCTGCAGGTACCGCTCGCAGAAGAAAAGACGGAGGGCCCGTGTCAAGTTATTACTTATCTCGGTTTGGAAATCGATACAGTAAAGCGCGAAATACGGGTGCCTCACAACAAGGTACTTGTGCTCCGGGAGAAAATTCAGTCAAGTTTGGGACGGAAAAAGTTGTCATTGAGGGAAATTCAGTCTATGGTTGGTTCACTCAACTTTGTATGTCGTGCTATCGCCCCGGGCCGAGCGTTTACCAGGCGTTTAATTGACTTATCACACGGGTTAAAGAAGTCCCATCATAAAGCACGCATTTCGCCGGGCGCGAAACTGGACCTGCTAATGTGGTTAGAATTCCTTGAGCATTTTAATGGGGTATCGCCGTTTCGTGATCAGGGCTGGTACGATAATGATACATTAGAGTTGTTCACCGATGCCGCTGCCAGCATCGGGTTTGGCGGTTTTTTCGACGGCCAGTGGTTTCAGGGCAGATGGACTCCCGAGTTTTTAGCACTGTCGCCATCCATAGCATACTGCGAATTTTGCCCGTTAGTACTCGCCGTGTATTGTTGGGCCCCCCAGTTAGCCAACCGTAAAGTGCGTTTGCGCTCGGATAACATTGCAGTAGTTCATATCATCAATACGCAATCATCAAGTTGCGATATGATTATGCACTTAGTACGGCTGTTTGTCTGTCAGTGTTTGCGTTTTAATATCACTTTTAAGGCCATTCACATACCAGGAGTGCACAATGAAATCGCCGATTCCCTTTCCCGTTTTCAGATGCACCAGTTTCGTACATTAGCCCCGCAAGCGGACATTCACGCGACGACGTTTCCCAACCTCCTCCCAGCTTATTAATAGAAGGTGAGATGAACCGATTAATACTTGCATCTTCAACATCGAATACCCATAAGACATATCGGACCGGCTGGCGAGCATTCTGTTCATTTAAACACAACGGTTTCGTTGAAAATTCCCCCGCCTCACCAGAGGATGTAAGGCATTTTATCGCGTGGCTTTCCCTACAGGGTTTGGCACCGTCAACTATCGCTACTTATGTGGCAGGGGTGGGTTACCATCACAAGATTAGAAGTTGGCCGGACCCCACCCACGATTTCTTGGTGACAAAATTATTGGCAGGCTGTCGTAGGGACAACTCAGGGAGCGATACACGGTGGCCAATGACCGTGCCGGTGCTGGCCCGCACGGTACAAGCTTTAACGCATATTTGCAACGACCATTATGAAGTTACACTTTTTCGTGCTGTTATGCTAAGCGCGTTTTTTGGGTTCATGCGCATCGGCGAGTTTGCCGCTATTTCAAAAACCCACATCCAAAATTCACTACTCCTCTCTTCGGACGTACAATTCCAAGATTTGGGTGAAGCCAATGCTTCAGTTTTAATTTCGTTCAGACATGCGAAAAATAATCCAACGGGTCCTCCGCAAGTTGTTCGATTAGTACGCTCAGCAGATGAAAGTATTTGCCCGGTCCAAGCGCTGAGCGTATTCGCGCAGATTCGGCCGAAGGTGCCCGGTAGTTTTTTCTGCCATTTTGGGGGTGAGGCCCTTACTCAGTATCAATTCAATGCCACCTTGAAGAAAGTTCTTTTGTTCTTGGGACTAGAAGAATCCCCTTTTCGTGCACACTCTTTCCGCATTGGGGCGGCGTCAACTGCGGCAGCATTGGGAATTCCACTTGGGGAAATAAAAGAAATGGGTCGTTGGCGTTCAGAAGCCGCCCAACTTTATATTCGCCCCCTAATACAATGCAAGCTGCCCGGCGTGTAATTGAGCCATTTAGTCAGTTAATTCTAGTGTTCTTTACGGCAGTGAATTCTTTAATTAATTAAAAATTTTCTTCGCCCCGCCCCCACCCCTCCCACTTATTTACAGGCGATGTATGGATTGTCGGAGACAGCATTGTCCGCAGGGCGGCGACCAGGCTGGGGTGTAAGCCTGCAGTACATTGGAAGGGTCTGGTTGGAGCGAGGTACGGTGATGTAGTTAAACTAGGGACGGAACTTGCGGCTTTGTGGCCGCATCCGGCACTGTTGATTATCCATATCGGCACCAACGACTTGGTCTGTACGGATTTTTTCAGCATGCGCCAGCGCGTGGCATTATTTATGCAGGAATGTCGTGATTCTTTTCCTAACACTCAGCTAGTATGGTCAGATATCTTGCCACGGGCATGTTACTTTGGTACGACTAATCCGTCAAAAATCGAAATGAAGCGGCGGCGGCTAAATAAATGGGCACGCTCATTCGGCCGTCGCATCGGCGTGTCAGTACTCAATCACCCCCAGTTTACATGGTCAGATTTCGCGCTGTTCCGCTACGATCGATGGTGTCCACCTCTCAACCACAGGAAACGCACAATTCCGGGCCAACCTTCGCGACTGCATTAACGCCGCATTTGTGTAATTATTGTGGGTTTTTTTGGGGGGGGGGCGCCGGGGTGCGCTGCCTCTCGTCCCAGTGGGGCGCGCTCTGCGCGTTTGGCGGGAAGTTACTGGGTACGACGGGCAGTGCCTCAATTCTAAAGAAATAAATAGTTCTTAAGTAAGATTTTGAATTTTGACCAATTTTAACAAGTTCGTTTTTAATCTTTAGAAACACGCCTAGCACCCTCTAGTACTGGTGGGGCTTATTCCAACCGTATTTTCCAACGGTGGAACAAAATCGGCGTGCCTTTTTCAAGTTTACTATTAAGAAATTTAGGCAATTTTTCAAGTTTATTCTTAAGTAATTTAGGCATATTATAAATTTAAGTCACGTGACAATTTACACCGTGACTAACACCCATTTGTCCTGATGGGGTTAGTATCCAACCGTAGTTTCTAGCGGTGGATATATTCGCGGTGAAGGATTGGCAAGCGTGCCAAGATTTGGGCCCAGTGATGCCAAGCATGGCAAGGATTGGGGGCAAACGTACGTGCCCCCGTTTTTCTGGCCAATGTGCCAAAACTGTTTGGGTTTAATAATACAATTTAAAAAAGAAAGAAATAAAAATAGCGGCTCGAAAAAACTATGCCAAAAAGTCAAACATTTGTTTCAAGGTGTTTTTGTGTGTGGTCTGAGAATAATGAATTATATAATAAATAATGCATTATATAATAAATAATGCATGATATAATAAATAATGCATGATATAATAAATAATGCATTATGTAATAAATAATGCATTATATAATAAAAAAATTCATTATATAATAAATAATACATTATATAATAAATAATTAAAGTGTGCAAAAATTATATATAAATAATAAGTTACCAAATAAATTATATAATAAATAATTAAAGCCTGCCAAAAATTATATATAAATAATGAGGTACCAAATAAATTATATATAAATAAATAAAGTCGGCAAAAAATTATATATAAATAATGAGGTACCAAATAAATTATATATAAATAAATAAAGTGGGCAAAAATTATATATAAATAAAAAGGTTACAAATAAATTATATATAAATAAAAAAAGTGTGCCAAAATTATATGTAAATAATAAGTTTGCAAATAAATTATATATAAATAAAAAAAGTGTGCCAAAATTATATGTAAATGATAAGTTTGCAAATAAATTATATATAAATAAAAAAAGTGTGCAAAAATTATATATAAATAATAAGTTTGCAAATAAATTATATATAAATAAAAAAAAGTTTGCAAAAATTATATATATATAATAAGGTTGCAAATAAATTATATATAAATAATTCTAGTTTGCCCAAAATTATATGTAAATAATTAGGTTGCAAAAAAAATTATATATAAATAATGCAGTGGCAAATAAATTTATTTACATATAATGCAAACTGCCAAACAATTATTTACATATAATTGTCCGGGAAACTGAATTATATAATAAATAATGAATTATATATAAATAATTTTGTTAAATAATTTATTTACACATGGCGCCTCATATTTATCTGAGTCATGATAGATGTTTAACAGTCCTAAGGTTTTGATTGTATTGTTAGTTTATTTTGATATGTGTTGATATATATTGACCATGTTGATTCCACGTTGAGACATGAAACTTTTAGGATAGTTTTGTTGAGTTTTAAAGCTCTAGTTGTACATACAAATGATTCTCATGTGATAAGGTTTGCTTCACATGATTTATCTTGATTGTCAGAGTTCGCTTATATTTTTGAGTTCTGCCTAAAATGCTTCTTTTACTGTTTTATTCTCTATGTGCTAGATGCAAATACTGAAAACTACTTTTGCACATGAAATATTACCATTGAGATTAAGGACTTTAGGTTTTTCGTCTAGTATTGTGGGAAGGAGAATTTCTAACGTCTGATTTAAATAAGTTTGTCAACATGTGTGCAGTCTACATTCCATGTACGTTGGACGGACATATTGTCTGACATTAATTATAATAGTCTGGGATGTGTTATGTGGCATGGACCACTATGTAACTCTCTTTTAGCCTCAGAATACTGGGCTGCATCGGTTTCGAGGAGGACTGGACTTGCCATCTAGACGTTCCTGATCCGCCGTCCAAGCATCCCAAAGAGGACTCCAGTATCCCCAGAGATCCACCCGCTACTGCTGAACTCAAGATCCACTACGGCTTCCGGCGCACAGGATCGTCAAGCATCCCCTTCGTGACGTCCGAGAACAACAGTAGTCACCGTTACGCTGCCGCAAGTACACCGTTACACAGTAACCTTGCCGTACGTATACCGTTACCCTTCCCGTAATTGTAGAGACATTTTCCCTGCGAGTATCCGCTTTGGGAATGACCGCCACTACATTTTCTTTGAGGACTTAACTATTTTTTTTTTAAGGCGCCTTCGATTACATACCGGTATTATTTGCACTATTGTATCTTAATTTACAGGATCCTGATCATGTGTTGAATTATTGCATTGCTTCTCATTCTTGAATTTACTTCATGAAATAAAACAGAGTCGTTGTGTGTGCATATAAATTTTGAATTGCTGAACTGAATTTGTTTTCCTAAAAGGAGTTAATTAATGTAATTGGTTCCTGCTATTTGGAAGTGAACCTTGGGTTACATGTGCAAAACCACCTGTAGAGTGGTGAGTTATTACGGTTCGTGTGCTTTAAAGGGGCACTAGGTCCTGAAATCCCCGAAAATGTTATGTTTTGGATTGTTTACTTAGCCTATTTCAAACATCTGGTTGAAAGGAAACCAACCTAATGCCTTACCGTTCCCGAGAAAAGACGAAAAAACCCGCTTGTTTACATCGGACATGACGGAGTACGAATACGTTTTTCGTGTCGTTCTCATGTACGCTATACACGTTGTGTGTCTCGGGAACAGCGCGCGGCCGCGGTGACCATATCACCAATGCAAAAAAAAATGTGGTTTCTTCAACGTCCGCAAAAGGCGAACACTTTACGCATACGAATGAAATCACAACTAACATCCAAACAGCTCGAATTGATGGGGTCGCAAAAGAGTACCCCGAAATTCGTTCTCGCACGCATAATAAAGGAATACTACAAAAACGCCCAGTTTTGAAAGGATAGTTGTGTGGATGTTTATATCCTACTTTTAAAAGTTATTTCCGATTATTATCATCTCGTTCAAAGCGCGTTTTGTAGCCCAATTGGGCTGTTCCAGGACCCAGTGTCCCTTTAACGTTCCATCGACGTTACTTTCGGTAAATTAACATCGGAAATGTTTTTAAGACGCAATTTGTTTTGGTAAAAGAAGTACGACTCGTGAGTCACGAGTCATAACCTTCAAGTCCGAGTCATCGATGGTCAAGTCTGAGTCCAAGTTTTTTGCCTATGTGACTGTAGTAGTCGAGACCACGTTACAGACATTGCGACTCGTGACGGACTCAGCCCTCTAACTGCTTTATTATTTGCCTATGATCCATTATACGAGTTATGGATACTGATTGTGGGGCGGAATTCAGCCTACCCCGTGTTAATGGAAGTATTGTCTGGCAGCCACTAATTTTAACTAGTAAAGTAATAACTAAACATTTTCCGGTTTTTTTTTCAGTCAATGCCTTTTAAAAGTGACATAACTTTTCGTTTACCATCTTATAACTTGCAACACGCGTATTTCCTTGAGTGGCATACAAGAGCGACCCTTCTTTAAAAAAAAAAAAAAGTATTACTGTCCACATGGTGTTAACTGCAATCGTTCTACTTTGTCTCATCCGCCATGCAAAGCAACATGTCATACATAACTTTCTTATTGCTAGAAACATATAAATTTAGAAAAAGAATCCATTTTTCGGGATGAATCTCGAAAATGGGACCGCCACCTATTGTCAGTAAATGTCAAATGTCGGTTGCTTCAAACAGTGCATCCATTATTCAGATGATGTTCTCCCCCTCCCCCTCATTCAAGATCCCCGGGCCTACAGGCTTGGTTAGGTAATACTCTTAAACTCATTGTTGGTGATACTTGATGCTCACGTAAAGATGCTACATTGCACAAATTCAGAATAAAACTAGCCGTATGGAAATTTGAGCCTCCAGCACCAAACGGCCATACATAATAAGCCTAACCCTACAACATCCCCCAAAAGTGCCTGTTTAATTTAAGAAGACTAGAGGCAAATTTATGTACCTTTTTACCCTGGCATCCCGATCGAACGTGTCCCCCATTTCTCTCAACAAGTCGCGTCCCACTTCCTCACACAGCTTCTTCTGTGCTTTTGAGAGGGAGCCTTCATCCTTCTGTATCTTCCGGCCTGAAGCTCTCTCAAATTGGTCTTGCACAATTGTTGTCATTATTGCAGTGCTTTGCTGTCGGAATTCAGGGTAACTTTGCTGGGGCTGGGTCCGACGCATGCCATTATCTACATTTGATGCAGTACACATATAATATTGGAAACATGCAACACAAAACAATACTGGCACATGAAGCAACCAGTTAACACATGTCTCAACAAACATCTGGTACCCACTCTCTATTGCTATACTTCCCCTAGCCCTCCATACTTGCCTCTAGACTTTTTTTTTTACATTGACTTATCCAGCTTCCGGACCTAGGCAATGTTCTTGACACTTAATGGTTCTTGAGTCTGTCTGAAATGCTGAATGGTAACACGTAGCAACCAATAACATCTACTGACGTTGCTACGTGTTACCATTCAGTCAGGCTGACGTCACTGTTTTGATCAAAACATTAGAATTAATAGGGTTAACGTTAAACGTTTAAAAAACTTACACTTTCAATTATATTGTTAACAATAGGATATGAAGGATGATTATGTCATTCTCTTTCACTAAAATACTTATAGGGCAGTCTTCATGGGAGAGTGTGGCCTAGTGATGAGGGTTCGTAAAATTTATTTACCTTTAGGAAAAGAAAATTTATTTA